CGTTGGACGGAGCTCCCCTGCACCCCCTCCGTCCCCCTGCAGAAAGATGGGTGGTGAGCCCCTTCTCTCATGCACGAGAGAAGTGCACACACACACACACACACGCAAGAGCACGACCTGGCGAGGCGGAAACGCGGCTGGCGCCCCAACACATGCACAGCACCGTGGCGAATATCGGAGATCGTAAAACCCACACACTGTAGCGGCAAGACGACTCGCACCCAAGATACGCGCTGTACTGTAGCGGGCAGCGTTGATTGCGAACCTTTGGAACATTGCCAAAATCCATTTCTCTTAGAAGGGCAGGATTTCGAGACCACACTGGCGAGCCACAAAAAGCCGAACAGTGTGGAATTCGCACGGGACCGTGGCAGGAGATGGCAGGAGCATAGCATCCACCCCAAAACACACCGAAATACGCGCGGGTCTGTTCGGGGCCGAGCAATAGGCAGAGCAAAAGTGTGCAGGATGATGCTGACCGTCTGAGATCCCGTGCCTCGGGCTGTCTCTGCTGCTTGCATCTCAGTGTTGCGCAATCCTGGAGCCATTTCACCTCAGGCTTGTTTCGACCACTGACTCCACTGAAAAAACTCATCCATGCACCGAGCGACATCCCATGGAAGCCCTCGCTCCATACAATACGGCTCTGTGGCAGCCTCGGGCCAAGGAAAGAAGCACCAGTCGTGTTCATGTAGTGCTGTCTTGCCGGGAGCAGAGTCGATTGATTCTCAGTGGCACTAAGAAGCTGAGAGGGATGAATGTTAACCTGAAGGGGCTACGGGGGGCACCGGGTAAAAGTCAGTGCAACGAGCACAAGGCACAGGAACCCATCCTTCGTAGCAGCGACAGGATGCAAGTCGCAGGGCGTTAGTCTTGCCGTGCCAGGTCCTATGGTATGCCTCCGGTTTTATCTACAGCTTCAGAAATCTTCGGAACATGTCCGGGCTGGCCAGGCGCATACAGAGCGTCAGCTTTGTCGACAGCATAGTTTTTCAAATAAGCCTCGGCTCCGGCGAACTTTAGTACTGCTCAGTGCGAAGAGCGACCAGGCTTGCAAGTCGAGTTAACACGCCATCGCTGCTCATGCTATGAACAGTTCAAGCTGAGTCTGCAAACAAGGATCCACTGCGAGGTCTAGAGCACCCGAAAGGACTTTCGGGTCCCTGAAGCCCTCTTCTGAAAACGATACCTGGGCGCAGTTCATGTGTTTGTGGCTGAACCGGATGAGCATGTGCGTTGTCAGCCATCCGAGCTCAAGGTGGTCTTCCCGTGTTTGAGGAGTGGACGCGTCTTGCATATTCGGCCTTGAAGAGCGTACGCAAAGCAGGCAGAATATGACTACTTCTTCCGGATGGCACATCCAGGGCGCTCAGGCTTAGTCCAACATCCAGTTC